ATACAACGTTACCGAAAGTAGCTACTAGCTGTGCATCAGTACTCTGCTTCTTCAGCCGCTCCTCTTTCCCATCTTCATCGTTCTTCGCATCCTCGCCTGTCCAGCTTTTCATCTTTCGCGCGCAAAGGTGCTCCATATGGTAGGGCCCCGTAGGGCTAGGGACACTTCAAGAGAGTCATAATTGACCCGGCTTTCGACCAGCAATCGCCCCATGTGCTCAAAGGGTTCAACAACATGCCATGATTCTCAGGAATTTAGTCACTCCTGAAGCAGATGAAGAAGACGAAGATGACGAGGAGGAGGACTTCCTCAATTGTCCAATTTACTCGGCAGGCACACAAAAATGGGACCCTCCATCCACCGCATTCTGCGTCCCAAAAAGCTCCTCACCGCTCCGTGAGCGTGGGTGAAGCCACGGACGCGACAGAAAGCTCTAGGGCTCTCGACTTTTTCTTTTTCTTCTTCTCCTCGAGTTGCGTAACATCAAAAAAAAGGGGGCAGTCCGCAACTCCCAGGACACCTCGCACAGTGTTAACCAAGGAGTTGCAGACGGTGAAATGGTACCAAGCAACCAGCCTTCTTTTTATCCTTTTTCTTCTTCTTCTCTTTCTTTTTCTTGTCCTGGCACCGCTTTGTGAGCGAGTCTCGGGATCCGTCCTCCACATGGAGAAGGGCAAAGTTAGAACTCCAAGGATCTCCAATGATGGTGAGGATCCAATCATAGAATAGCACCATGATCCAAAGAAAGCACGTCTCGTCCTTTTTCTTGTCTTTCTTCTTGTGTTTCTTCTTCTCTTCCTGACCACGTTGGGACAAACCTAATGACCTTGGATGGTCTCTTGAGAAACGGGTCTTGCACGTATGGCAATGCTTTCTGCAGTGCAAGCATTTTACTGCGCAAAAAAAGTAGTTCCAGTTCCAGCCTTCTTGAACTCTTTGTTTTGTCGTTCGGCCGCGGCGACGGCATACTTGTCCAATCGACTATTCCTCAGGCAGCTCAATCACACCCAAATTTGCGTCCAAAGACAACAGTGGACATATTCTATGGGGAGCCCTTCTTTCATGTACAAACTCTCGCTCAAGCACGTAAAACATAATTCGACAAACCAAACTTGAATTAGGACTCAAGAAAAACCTCGTGCTCGACCTCAGGCGTCTCAGAAAACGGACGCCATGTCACCTGTCAAAGCCACCTTTGACCCACCAAATCTTGAAGCGCAAACCTCTCATGTCTGTCACAAGTAGTGGTCAAATGGATTTTGTTTCTCTTGACACCACGTTTCTCCCTCAGAAAACCCCCTCCTCCAGGGACCTAAATTGTTGCTCCTCAAGAGCGGGCCTTTTCAAGTTTGCAAAAGAAATTCTCACCAAAATCAATTAAACATCAACTTTCCACTTCCCTTTTAGCACATCTTGTGCTTGCAACGTTCAAATCCACAGGTGTCCAACTCAGCCCAGCTGTTTATAAACACCTTCTGTGCCAACAAATGCCATGCTAAACACGACTTTCTGCTCCGGAGACTGATGCCACTTGGCATCATGGCCCACCCAAGTTTAACTGAGGGCGGCACACAAACTTCTCCAACATCTTTTCCATGGTCCGACCCTCAGTGTAAGTTCCATCATCCGCATAGTACTTTGTTATTGTCTTGGTAGCAGTGAACAAACTGTTATAATATTAATAATAACTTAATAATAACAATAACATATAGGCGTTTCAATCCTGACCAAGTTTTGCCTCCGTTGTGTTTTTTTTTAATGGATATGAAACAAACAAACACACACACATTAGGACACGCAAGAAAGTCGAACACAAAACTTTCACCAAAAAACACTGAAAAGTGCACCGTACAGGGCAGGGTGTTGGTCAACAAAACCCAGGAAGTTGCCAAGGCAAAGGTCCTTCCGCTGCTGTTGTCACTCGGCTCTCTCTACCTCGCTCTTTCAAATGCTTCATCCATAAATATATTGCACCCCTACACACCAGCTACTTTCGAGTGTGCTTTCTCAGGCCACCCCCCCGAACCCCCCTTCTTACTCAGCTGGCGCAGGTATAGATACCCAGGGTAACTACAATTCATCTTCAGTTACCAGGTATAGTACTTCAAGTTCCCTTTCCGTCAACCGTTCGATAACCTTTACACACGCACAGCAATCCACAGCTTTGAAGTCTCATTCTTGCGTTGAACTTATATAGGTGCGTGAGAGGCATAGCAACATAGTATTTATACGGACCCAGGGTAGCTACAACTCTGTTGCCAGGTGTCCCAATTCAATTTCCCTACCCTGGGTCCGCGCGCGCGCGCCTTGCTGGCTCCCGGCTGCCCGTGATTTACGCAGACCCAGAGCAGCTACAAGGCAGTTGCCAGGTATACCCAGGGTAGCTACAATTCAGTTGCCAAGTATAGCACTGCAACCAACCGAAGACAATTGCATTTCTTAAAATCACAAAAAAGCACCTCCAAAACCTTGCTTCCGTGCACCCCTACACACCAGCTACTTTCGAGTGTGCTTTCTCAGGCCACCCCCCCGAACACCCCTTCTTACTCAGCTGGCGCCTTGCCAGGTATAGATACCCAGGGTAGCTACAATTCAGTTGCCAGGTATAGTACTTCCAGTTCCCTTTCCGTCAACCGCTCGATAACCTTTACACATGCACAGCAAACCACAGCTTTGAAGTCTCATTCTTGATTTGAACTTATATAGATGCGTAAGAGGTATAGCAACATAGCATTTATACGGACCCAGGGTAGCGACAATTCTGTTCCCAGGTATCGCACGCATGAGACTTCAAAGCTGTGGATTGCTGTGCGTGTGTAAAGGTTATCGAACGGTTGACGGAAAGGGAACTTGAAGTACTATACCTGGTAACTGCACTATAGCTACCCTGGGTATCTATACCTGGCAAGGTGCCAACTACACCTTACCATTCAGATGATGCAAGTGATGCAAATTGCATTTCTTGCATCACCACCCCTCAAAAATCACCTCCAACACAACCTCAAAAAACCTTCCATCCGTCCACCCTCCTCCCCCAGCATGTGCCGAGTTTACGTGTACCTTTTGCGGGCCACCCCCCCCAAACCCCCTAACTACTCACTTCGTTCGCCAAGCACAACTCAGCAGGCGCCTTCTACGAAGGCTGGCTTTCGTAAATAGGAACACACACACAATAAACAACATTTCCTTACAAACAAAATACACAAAGAACACACATATGTATATAATTGCATATGTATATATATATATATACTAATTACACGCAGTATATAATCTATATAGGTTTCCGAGCAAATCCTGGTAGAATACATCGTTGCCATCGATGTGACCCGGGCTCGATTCCCGGCTGATGCATTCTTATCCTAACGCTTTTAACAAACTTTTGCAGCACCACGCCCACATGTGGGTGGACGTCACAGGAGTCATAGCAACTGACATGCAGCACCCCCTGTGGGACTCGAGCCCACAATCTTCGGATTAGAAGTCCGACGCGCTCCCCAGCCGCTTGCTGAGCCAGGCGCCGCGTCGGCCACCACCGGCACGCGAGCGCCGCCCGCGCCCATGGCCTCGCCCAGGGCGATGGCGCGCTGCTGAACCGCCTGGGAAGCTGCTTCAGACGGCCGAAGGGTCCAGCAGGGATGATATTGAATTATCTATAGTGATATTCCAATTGAAATGTGCCAAAGGATGCTGGAGATATCTGAAGATTTGGGGTTGTGGGGCAACTGGGCACAATCACTGGGACTTCCTTCCTGTGAACATCTGCGAACTACATTGAAGTGCAGTTCCTTGTTCTTTTGGGCGCTTCATGGAGGGACAAAGGGCAACCAAAAAGGTAGATCCTGTTGGTCACTGGTTGTAGGGGGACCCTTCATTATTTCAAAACCTTTTGGCTTTCTACAATCAACACATATATAATATAATGTGGTGTGACCCCAAATTCTAGACCCTGCCACTGCCTGTGGAAACTGTTGCAAGAATCTTCCAATGGATGATCTGGTCGGTTCCCGACCAACTCTTGGAGTTGGCGGCCGACAACCTGAAAGTGGAGTTGAGTGGATGCACGTTGAATCTGCGGATCTTCACACCTTCATACGCCTTCCATCCTTAAAGAATTCAGCAGCTTCCCATGCTGCAAGGCCCTACCAATTGGCCAAACAAATGCAGCTTCTCCATGATTTTGGGTGCTCGCCCAGCTCAACCGACGGGCGGCAAAGGAATCGGGCCAAGTGCACCGGTTGAAGAGGTTCCCATCACGAGGCTCTCAACAATTCCCGGTTCGATATGGTTCGGATGGTTTAGGGTTTTGCTTCGGATGGCTTTCTTGGCCAAGTAAAGCCATTACCTACCCGAATCGTGCAAAGCTTTGATCGCAATGGCAAGATGCAATGATGTGCCATCTTAGATTCTTAGATCTTGCCCACAAACCCAAACAGCTCCATACCAGGTTCCACCTTGGGAAAAGCGCTCCAGATTGATCGGCACCGGCCTCCGCATTGCCCTGCAAGGACTTGGCAAAGGCCGCGGAGCCACCGCCCCTCACGGAAAGCCGAGGTCAGGAGCTGCAAAGCCGCAAAGGAGAAAGAAAGGTGCAAAGACAACAAGAGCGACCGGTCAAACAACTTGTTTGTTGTTAATTGGGCTCTGAAAAGGCTGTCACGTCCACAAGCATTATCAGTCTTTGATTGCAAATCTTTGAAGGGGCAATATGGGGCAATACTTTGTGCTTCATCCGATTTAACATAGCCATGAAATTAATAGGATGCCGCCCGTGTCGTTGGTCGCCACACAAAAAGCTCCAAGTTCCCAGCGCTAAGCCCATGGTTTCAAAGCGGCTCTTGTAGCTATCCTGGGCCCCGGCAGAGTCGGCGGGTCCCGGGCTGCGATCGAAGGGGAAGTCGGCGGGTGGCGATTGAAAGACTCTCGGCTGGTTGGTCTGAACAAGTTGCAAAAGCTGAACAAGTTTTGGAAAAGGTGGCAGTTGCACCACTTGGGTCCATTTTGGTCGGCGCGCTCCGCGTGCTAGACGGCGCCCGCCACATGTTTCTTACAGTGGCGGGGTGAAAAGCAACCCAAAGACACACACACACAGGTATGCGGCATGCGGACAAAAACTCATGTTTGATATTCCAATGGTGGCTGGTATTTTAGCACATGCTGAACAACAATTGCTGCAGCCTGTTGCTGAGATTGCATTTCAAGGCAATATTGTGAAGCATGTCTTCACCGCACAGTATGGGAAAGCACATGCACTAGAATCCACTAGAATCTCTCAGCATCGAAGCTATGAATCACAAAAAACCTATCACTGTCCAATCATGTCATTTTACACAATTGGCAGAATCACATCTCCATTATCCAGGAGTTCACCTGTCTGCTTTTGCAAGGGCCATTGGGCCGGATCCCAGCCGTCCAAGTTGCACGCCGCCTCCACGTTTCCCGCCGCAGCGGTCAAAGAAAAGGCTGCGGCCGGGATGGAGGAACTGGCCACCACGCACTGACCGGTGGGATTGGAATCACCGACGATGGCCACACAGGCGTTTGAGGCAAGCCCTGAGAAGCGGATGATCACTGAAAGCAAACCTAAGACGCTCATCATATCAAGCGCGCAGTCTTTGGGTCCAATTCCCTCGGTGTGAGGGCAGGTGCTCACGGCATCTGCCAAGACTACTCCTAGTCTCATGGTAAAGCTACCGATCAAAGTGATACAACCGAAACACAGTGCGGTGTTTGAATAAACCGTGTTCTTTGGTACTGCTGGTGATGCAGGGAGAACCCCAGTGCGGACTCCGTGGTCAGCCAGGAATTCATAGGCGCTCCTCTTAACATCCAGTTTGATGTCCTCCAATTCAGCCGCTGCCGCATCCACCTTTTGTGAGATGTTGCGATTGTCAACGCAATCCAGTTCGATTTGCAAACCAGCCTGTGCCAACAATACCGTCATACCCACCATTGACGCAATGTTGGTTGCACAATTTGCTGGTACATTCAGAGATTGAGAGCAAGCGGTCAGTGAGGCAGTGATGAGACCAGCAATCAAATCAGTGTTGATGATGGTGAGCATGAGGAAGTTGGCACATCTCTGCTTCTCCTCCTCCGTCACTGGGCCTCTTCGACGCCTTCGAATGGCCTTGTAATCACACACGTTCACCAGCGTATTGATCAAAGCGCCCTGATTGGAAAGCCTGGCCACGATCTGTGCGACATTCACCACACAAAGGCTCGTGGACATTTCTGGACTACTCAACTGGATGGTGAGCGGATTCGGAGCCGATGGTCGAAGCTGGTGGCCGGAGAAGCTGGGTCTCCATGGGACCAAGAGTAGCAATAGCAACGCCAAGAACCAAGTGGCCCATCGGAGCAGCAAACGGGGAAGTGGAGCATGTCTAGCCAGCAGTGGCGCATGGTGTGGCTCTGACTCCTCACCATTGCTACCTGCAACGTGCATGGGGAAACATCACGAAACATGGATGGTGCGCATGCTGAGCCAAGCATCACTGGAGCGCCCTCTGCACCCTCTGAATCCAAGAAAAACAACCGTGCACGTGGCATCTGATTATATATAAATCCGATTCATGCTGAGATCATGAGATCATCATACCATAAACAATCTTATACAATCACACTTCCCCGACATAGCCCTTCGTCAGGAGGGTTTTGCAAGAGTATTTTCCTGAGGTGGAACGACGAATCGCCACCACCGCCCCAAAGGGTTGTAGCACGTTGTAGTGCCATCCAAGGATCCATGTTGTTCGGCTTTGTGCCTTGCATGCGCTTTGGCCTTAGGTGAAAGGGCCACCGCAGCTGCTGGTGGCAAACCAGTGCCTTACTATTGGCAACTATGGACCATGGGGCCTAACAAGTCTAACTAAACCCCAAGTCTTTTGGCAGCAAACAAGTGCTTCCAAGGACACCAGGAATGGAATTAGGATATATAAATGGTGCATGTAATTCTCACGAAACTCCTGACATTCTAGAATTAAGATGAATTAAGAGATTCCTATGGACGCAGCCGGGATGCATTCCACCGGACTCAAAGCCGACGGTGTTCATCCTGAGTAGAATTCACAAGCTTCAAATGAATCAATCTATCTCAGAAAATGTATCTTATTAAAGGTCAATGAATCACTGCCAGCCTGAATCAGCTGGCATCTTGTTTGCTCATGTGTGTTGCCATGTGCTCTAAGTTTGATCCCCATGGTTGGGTTTCTTGGCTTCCATGTCTGTCGAGTTGCTGGGCTTCGATCTTCGCGGTCCGGTACTCCAAAATACTCATCTTGGGCGCCATGGCGTGCCACGACGCGGCTTGCTTTTCAACGTGGAGCGGGACCCGTTGCAACTGAGGAAGACGAGTTGCACATCTCTGAGAGGAGTAGGTCGCCCATCTCAGGCGGAGGGGCATGGTGGCTTTCAAGTTATCCTCCGGAACTCGCTGAGGCAACATTTACAGGTGACCGAGCCGTAGTAGATCAAGAGCTGCAGCTGACATATATATTATATACACAACACACATTCCGACCAGCACATCTTCCACCCTTTTTTGACATGATGATCATCATGAGCCCAACGGCTACGAAAAGGCATCCCTGTCCGTGTATAGTGCTGGGGGGCTCATTCAGGTCCTCTTTATTCTCTCTCAACCTTGTAATCCAAGAAGCTGAGAATCAACAACCAACACAAGGATTGAGGACCATATTTTACTTTCTCACACGCTTTCGGCTGGCACAAAGGGGTTTGGATGAGTCCGACGGATCTGCACCGATCGTCTTGTCCCGGCTTTTTCTGGCTCTGCTTGCGCTCCGCTGGCTCTTATGGATCTGTCTCCAGGCCCAAGGTTTGAAGTGGTCCTGACCGGAGTGCAACATCCCATTCATGATTGGTGCCTCCCACACAAGTGACCATTGATTGACTTATTGACTGGGATGATCTATAGACATAACAATTTGGGATCAATGGTCGAAACATATGAGAAACTACAGTATTCACATTGACATCTTGCAGACTACTTCAACCAAACAAAACAGTTGTCTTGCTAATTGTCTTCATCATGCAGCACTGTTGGGTCACCCGGGAATCGAATTCACAGGTCCATTTTGTGTGGCAATGACCATGCAGGCTGTCCCAGGTGTCCCCATGTAAGGTCCTTGCAGGTGGTGTTCTAGGGGGGAAGGGTGGTAGACTATCGTGAGTTTGAACTTCAAGAAGTGCAACTTTTATCTGCAGGGTTTTGTGTATCTAGGGTTGATGGTAATCTCACCACCCAAAAAGTAAAAACGATCACAGTAAACACATGGTTGCAACCTGCTTCAAAGCGGCACCGGAATGCCCACAAATCACAAGCGCCCCAATAATGGAACTATGTCCTATGAGCCTTTTATATAATGTTTCAAGCTCTCTTTTTCCTTTCGCCAGGCAGGCAGGGACTCTGAAGGTGGTCATGCTGCAAGCTGAACTTCCAACCACCAAACTCAAAGCCACCTTTCCCAGCCTCCCTTCTTCACCAAAGCCGTGGCCATGCCCTCTCGGGGCTATGGGCATCAAGAAAGAAAACAGCTCGCTCCATCACCTCGGAAAACACTCCAGCGAGTTCAGTAATGCGGTCATACGTCCATGGTGACATCTTTTGTTGATAGGTGGCAACTGAAGCTTCTTGGATGTAGATTTCCAAAACTCTGGAGCTGAGCCATCTTCCCTTTCGCCTTACCAGTTCTGAATCCTCCGTTTGCTGGAGGAGAAACGTCGCACCGCCCGGCCTAAGAGAGGCCAGGTCGTAGGGCGAGCTGTTGGGGAGTCGCCTCACTTCCAAGCCGACAGCTCGTTGGAGTGTGACGAAGCGCCTCCGAAGCGTGGCCGGTGACCAAGGCCACAAAGGAGCAGCTGCGTCAAGCCTCCTGAAGACAGCGGTGACCAGGCGAACAATGTCCTGATACTCAAATCTCGAGGCTTGGTGCCTCGCTGATCTTCCTCTGGTCTTCGGCTCCTGGATCTTTAAGATGATCCCTGTTGCGCCTGGTGCAGCATCACCAGGGAGCACCAAATCTCCTCGACGAGCGGAGAAGATCTCTCCAATGCGAAGGAGTCCTGCCCAACTCATCGCGAAGATAGCCGCCTCACGCGGCCATCCCCAGAGGAGGGCTAAACTGCAAAGCCCCAGCAAAACTGAAACTGGAAGAGCTGGATGATGTTGTCTGGGCTCTCCTGACACCCAGTTGAAAGCCAGGTCCCAGGCAGCGGCGAGCTGCCTCCTCAGAGCTGGACGCCGTTGGGTAACGGCGTTGATGGTCTCGGCAAAATTTCCGTAGGGATAACCTGCCAGGAACATCTCTTTTCCATATGCTATGAGGGCCTCGCAAATCTCTTCGGGGTCAAGGAGGGCAGCATCAACCAGTTCCACCAAAGTAGTTCGCAGGTTATCTGCGAGCCAACTATCAAATTCAGCAAGCCGCTTCGACCTCTGATTTCGGGTGGATTGCTTTACCGCCCTGTCAGCTTGAAGCCCCCAACCCGATCGTGCTTCGGCCCTCGACCGGTCATCTGGGCCTCGTGGGGCTAATGGCATGGCAAGTGCAAAACACGAGGGCGCGCGTCCCAAACGGCTGCGGGCATGTGAGCACTGTGGTTTACCAAAACCATAGACCTTTGGGGGACCGGTGTCTGAGGAGGCGCTGAGAGAGGTGGAAACAAGCAAGAGCCAGGAGATTGGCCGACGGGCCCTGCCAAAGAGGAAGCAGAAGGAAGCCAAGCAAGCTGCAGACAAGAGGCACTCTGCTCCTGATCCCATCAACTGCCCAATGGAGGTGATTGCTGTGACGAACTGGTAGAAGGGTAGAGCAAAATGCTCTGATGAAGTCGGCGTAGTCCCAGGAAGATCCCAAGCTCCCGCACCAGGGCAAAGCGAGAAGGTGACTAGGATGAATAACCGCAACCATCCGGCCACCGGCCTTGAGAACTGATGAGAGTGCAAGGTAGCAACCTGAGAATCAGATAAGTACTCCAAAATGGAGTGGTCTGAAGGCTCTGGAAGGGCTCGGTCACGAGTGGGTGCATCCGCAGTGTTCAGTCGAGTAGGAGCAAATCCAAAGGAGGGGTGTAAGTTTGCAGCCACTGTAATTGCACAGGCCTTTCTCAGGGACCTCTGGAGTGAACGTGCCGATGACCTTCCCTTTGCATGAGCCCCCTTTGCGACTCTGCTGTCCAGAAGGGCTACAAAACGTCGATGGCCCCCCTTTTGTGCGAGTCGGTGCAGCAGGCCCACATAAGCATGACTCTCCAGGATGTTGATGTGGCAAGGTGTCCTCCATCTCCACGAGAAAACCGTGTGCCACTTGGATGACTGCAGGAGGTCATTGATGATCAGTGACTCCAGACCCTTTCCGCACGCCCCTTCTGATGCATCACGCTTCTTGAGGGCTAGCTGTATGTGGGTGGCTAGATGATCAACAACCCCCCGGGACATAAATGGCACTCTGCTTTGTATATGCTCCCTCAATTCGGATGTGGGAGTGACCCCCAGAGCACTTTCTTTGAAAACTGTCGACCTCGAAGCCATACACGAGGAAGCGGAACTCCTTCCGGTGAATGCTACCAAACATGCAGCTGGCGACAACCACCTCCTCCAAACCCAAGCTAAGGAGCCACTTCCAAGCGCTCAACCAAGCCATCTTGCTCAGACGAGGCTGTTCCAAGAAACCTGGGGCACCACAACGGTAGCGCATCAGCAGGCATCTCAACGCAAGGGTGGTGCCAATAAGCGTCCTCCTCTCTGTCCTGTCAAAACCAAGAGGTCGCTCGTAGGATCGAGATGCTGGATATTGTGCCGGAGAAAATGTTGTGCACGGGGGCTCACAACCAACACTCAAGAACCGCCTTTCATGGATCATCTGTAGCATCCAGTCTAGAAGCTTGACATTGGTGAGGTCGAAGTGCTTACTGGCGGTCAGGTCGAGTGGGGTACAAACTCGAAGTCCCCTTCTCGCAAGCTCCTTTGAGAGAACACCAGAGCCTCCGCAAATCTCAACAAAGTCAAAGGCGAAATCGATCGAGCGGGTAGGTGATGGAGGCAGCCCTTCAAGCGCAACCTTTTCATCTTCCTCACTGGGAATCCCAAGCTGTCTTAGGACCAAAGCCGGCCCTTTCTCCAACATTGTGTAGGAGCCCTTTCGATCTCCCCCCCAGCCAAAGAGACTGACTGAGGCTATCTGAGGCTCTGCAAGCTGTGACAGCCCCTCGCTGATTGGATGCATCAGTCGCATAGACATGCTTGTCATAGTCGACGGAGATGTCGGTGACCGCCAAGAATCCCGCAATGCTCGCCAACACAAGCTCTTCAGCGACATGCCGAGTAAGTGTGACGACCTCGTTGGCCTGCTTTTGTGAAGGAGTCCCCAGTGCGAAAAGGCCATCCAGGGTACAAGTAAGGCACCTCCGGAACATCAGCAAGGAGACCCACTGGCCAGCAAGCCTTGAGGCGAGACCCCTCGTGATGACTGGAAGAGCTGATAGCCTCAGAGACAAATACGAGGTGGATACCCTTTTAGCAGCATGCCCCGCAACTGCAGTGGTGCCTGCTGATTGGGCCCTCTCATTCGAAATCACTTCGGCCCCAACCGCTTGAAAGAAGGTCTCACCTCTGACAGTCTTGTCATCGGAGCCAAGGACTTGATTCTCCTTGTATATGTTTTCGGCTACTGCAAGCTTCTTCTCGGCGAGTGAATCACCTTTGCGGCAGCTCCTCTTCTCTCTGGAGATGATCACATAGTCATCGATAACCAAGATTTCCCACCATGGGCCTTGAGGGAAAGGCTGATGCCTAAGGATCTGACTTGCACCCTTCAGCAGGCCTTCACTCCTCAAGAGGTTTGTGTGGCTAGCCAAGGCGTATTCCACGCCAAGATGGTCTCCTTGGAAAAGGCTGCTGAATCCAGCATAGACCTTCTCTGGGGCCTTCCCAACCAGCAAAGGCACTCTCCTCTTGAAACCTAGGCGGTCACCATGGGCCTCCCTGTCATACTTTTCGTTCAGGATCTCCTCAAGCTCGAGCAACTCTGAACTACCATAAAACTCCTTCGTGTGAAAAGCAAAGGGAAGTTGGTTTGACCATGCTCGAGATCTGGAGACCTGGGCCTGATGATAGAAGTCCCGTCGATCTGTGACACATCCGACTAGCTTATAGCCCCGCGGACAGTGAAGCGATGTGAGGTTTACTCCGGCAGGAAGGAAAGCCGAAGGACCTGAAGGGTGCATCTCGGCACCATTGCACCACCTCCTGTCTCCAATCTGTCTGTCGACTTCCTCATTTTTGAAAGCATTGAACACCCGGGACTGGAACTCGCAAGGGCTATCGAACAGAGCCAGCAGCCCCTTGGTGCTCCAGAGTTTTGCCAGTTTCAGGCTCTCAGTGACGGATTCCCTGGAAAAGTCAGGTCCTGCCCAAGTGACTTCTTGACCGTGTCGAAGGACGCTCGGCTCAAGGAAGGGCAACCAGAGGATGTCATCAATGAAGTCAGCCATAGGCCAGCTTCCCTGACCTGTCAACTTAAGTCTCCCAGCATCGAGGCTGCGGTATGGATTCACGGCTGAGAACTCTGAGGCAGGCTTGAAGAGGTGATCTTTCTGAATGGTGCCCCGTTGATCAATGCCTTCATGAAATTCACCACCATAGCCCCCCAAGTTGAAAAGCGGGGAGGCATGAACAAAATTGGAAAGCTCAATGAGTCGAGCTATGAATTCTGGTCCTGATCTCCCTGGAGGTAGAGGATGATTTCCAGGAAGGTCACTCACGGTGATCAAAGCGTCCAAATGACGATGTATTCGCATCTGTGCTGGACTTGGACACCTCCCGAGACTGCTAACATCGAACGCTGCTCCGTCGGTGTAGAGGTAGTTCAAAAAGACTATGAAGATGTGCAGCAAACGCTTCCTGCAGATCTTCCACCATTGAGCAGCCGATAGCCTCGAGGCCGTCTGCCCCCCCGAAGGCGTCAAAATCCCTCAGGGGCAGAGGAAAGACCGTGGTACAAGGAGGGTTTCCATTGAACGTAGTGCGAAAGGATTTGGCCAAAGCCGCGGAGAACCTTGTTCGGCTCTTCATGATCAGCCTCGGCAAGACAGCAACCAGCCGTCGGAACGAGATGGTGGAGCTCAGGGACTCCGCCGTGAAGCGCTCTTCCTCTGGATCCCGGTCCAGCTCATAGCCAGAGGTGTCACTCTGGTCGAAGGTCTTCTTCTTGGAAGTACTCCCAGGGAGCTTGTCTCTAGGGTCGCCAGTCCCGCCGAAGGCAGTCCTGTCGCCAGGCTGCTCTGAGGAAGAAGAACGCGGTGCCAGCAACCCCACAGACCCGCTCACTCCTGGTCTTCCTCCTGCTGCCTCTTCCCTTTTCCTCGCCCCTTTGCCTTCTTCTTGGCAGCGGGTTCCGAGGTAGGGGGGGGAGGAAGGCTTCTCCTTTGTGGCCTCTGCACGCCTCGATTGGATGGTGTCCAGCTCCTTCAGATATTGCAAGGCCACTGTGATCCACTTCTGATCTGCTGTCGCTGCAAACGCCCTCTGCCTGGCGATCGAGGTGAATGACCGGTTGCTGAACAACCCCTGGGGGGGGGTCCTCGATTAAAGCCAATAGGACTGCAACATCCATCTTCCCATTGTCCAATGCCATCTGTTCGAGGAAAACAAACAGTAGGCCCAGAGTGTCCCGGGCGGCAAGATGGTTGTCCTGCTGCATGAAGTCCATAGCCAAGGCAACCTGCCAGATCACAAAACCTAGCTCCCGGTGTCTGCCAAAACCCCCGAACCTCTCCAGGTACCTGGTGGCACAAACTTCTCTGGAGTGGAGCTCCCCCGGTGACAGCTCTGCCGACGTAGTAGGGCTCATCCTCCTTGACATTTGCTGCAAAACGCTTGTAAAGAAAAGCCCGAGAAGGGCAGCCAAGACCCCACCAATTGCTGGATGCGCCAGACACCAGCAGGTGAAGACCCTTAACCACAGTGTCCATGCGCTTGAGGACATGAAAGCGAGCAGTCAACATTACACCGACAAAGCTCTTTCTTTGAACATCCACCTCCATCACTACGATCGCCACCAGAAAGGAGAACACACACACAAAAAAAGAACAAGCACACTGCGCGCCGCAACAACAACAACAACAACAACAACAACAACAACAACAACAACAACATTGGCCGCAACGCAACAGCACACCTGCAAGCCCATGGCCGCACTGAGTGTCTTCGGATCGTCGTGGACGATGTGGAAGTTCACCAAGCCTGCATGGAAACAGTGTGCTGACAATGCAGGTTGTTCTCATCTAAATGATCACTGTTTGGTCTGTTAGAACCGATTGGTATCTGGTGTCCAGTGGAGATGTCAACGGTCCACGCAGTCAGGATTGTTTAGTGCTACAATTCTGATTCACGAAGGACACAAAAACACCGACACATTCTGTAGAACCTGTAGCAAAAGCAGGTTGAAAGCCCGGAAAACTATGAATGGATGTCGATCGAGGACGTCTGAGTCCTGAGAGCAACACTTTCGGACATGTAGGAGCCCCAGTTGGTCTGTTCTTCCTATCAATTCACCACGTAACCCTGGATTCGATATTGAATCACAAAAGCTGAACCAACACATACCAACACCAAAGAAAACTGAGGAAACAACACATTCTTGTTGAGCTGCCAGGAGAGGGAGGCACTCAACCGTTGCACCTCCGACCGGTCACGGAGTTCCACCGGTCCCGGCCGGTGCCGGTCGACGCCAAGACACGGTTCGGAGCGATGACGTCGGGGAGCAATTGATGGACGCCGTGCCAGGCCTCCTGCGGAGGTCTCCGCGACGCTTTTCTTCGGAGCGCCCGTTTACGACGGACTCGTTGCGGTTCAAGGTCGCTGCTGAAATGTTTTCTTGGTGCACACGAGGGGGGGTGATTGATGTCGTAGTAAAGATGAAGTGAAGTGGACAACATGAGAAATGCCTAGTGTTTCTTACCTGTGGAGAGAGATCTAATGGAAACTGGTGGGATGTTCAGATAGGGTGCCCTCTAAGCTACACATCTGAAACACCTCACCCTCTTCCAGGAAGCGAAAACTAGCGAAACCGCTTTTTCGGATACCACGCCCACGAATCCGTTCCAAGGAACCGGTTTCAAGGAACACAGGAAGAGCCCAAGAGGAACAAAGCACATCTTGATATCCATCCCTGCCGGCCAGGCCTACTCGCACGCTGGTTTCGAACAACGGGAAACCAGCTCAACCGGGACCCCCTCGTTGGCTGAAGGGATCGACAAACATTGGGGGCTCCTGGTAAAAAGGCAAGCCTTCACAGCAAGTGGGATAGGCAAAGTCCTGACGAATCAGGAGGAGCACTGGAAAAGCGTGGTGAGCCGAAACACATGTGATTCATGTGATGCTGCTGTTCTTGCATTTTTTTGGGGGTCGTTGTATTGAAAAGGCAACGGGAAGCTTTCCACATGACATGCCCAATGCAGGCTTGCAATCGAAAAAAAACGGTGTGCATCGGAACTTCTGGGAATGATCTCAGAAAAGAGATTGCTTCTCCAATATCTGCATTTTCTCTGCACTTCTGGTGGCACCAGATTTCCGCACAGGAAGGGTCTCGTCACGCCACACTTTCCCTTTGCCATATGTTTTCCGGACAGCCAGCCATTGGCAAAACACAAGCAAATACACAATACCCCTCTTGCAATCATGATCGTTGACCCCACAATGTCCAACAAAACCAGCACTGTCTTCCTGATATTGTTCCTACCAGTAATTTCAACGCTAGTCATAAAGCCCACTGGTTTCGTGACCTGCCTCGATCACCAGCCGCTGAGGGATGCGCAACCGCTGCAGCTCCTGTTTCCGAAAGCAGGAGGCATTGCCACCGTAGCCTGCGTGATCATTCGTGCAACCATGTGCAACCAGGCAGGAATTTACTTCTTAAAGATCTTTAAAGTGTGTGTGCGTGTGTATGTGTATATTTATAAGATGAATTGGCCGTTCTCTGCCTGCCAATACATTGTCAGTGCTGCACATTCCCATGTGAATCATGTGATGATTCAGGGGAAGGGAATAGATAGATCTGAATAGTAGACTGATATATAACAAAGGCGCTACAGTAAGGGCACAGAACTGCGATGGTTAGCCAATAAAGTCTGTACACTCGTATGCAAGGTCCTTACTTTCGAACAGTCTTTTTAGATCTGAAGCCTTCCATATCCTTCCATTGTTGTGCGTTCCATGACTGGCTCCCGAGTTTCCCTAAAAAGCCAAGGCTTCCGTAGGTCAACGTTTTTGTCTTTTTTGCAGTTTGTTGTTAAAGGGTGATCCAATGTGATCGTCCGGATGAGCGCTGTTGGCCAACTGGCGGTGTTTCTCCTTTGTGAGCGAGCGCGTTTTCTTTGGGCCAGTCTGAATCAAGCGAATTCCATTCGATGCGGCAAAAGGTGAGCTTTCTTTTGGGCCTTCTTGAACGGTAGGAAAGCAGTACAGCGGCAAACATGGGGTCCAAATTGGATAGTAGATCATACTTGCTGTTCTGTTGATTGTAAAAAGTCAAGTGTTGAGATCGAAGGACACGGGCCCAATTTGACATGATTCTGGATTAGTCAGTGAATCGATATAGCCTAGAACATTGAGATAAGTCTTTGATCTCCACTCTCAACATCCCGCAACCAAGGACAAGACTTGTTTTGAACTTGAGTTCTGTGCACATGGGCACATCGCAACAAAATCATCCCAGTCTCGGGTTCTCCAAGTGGCCAAAGGCGGCGGCACAGCAAGAGTTCCACAGTTCAAGAAAGGCCTCGTCAGAGCGGTTTTCTGCAAAGGCATGCTTCGGGCTTGGGCTTCAAAGAACTGGGCCCGTGAATTGTGGCAATCCGGCTCCCAACATGTCAGAAAGCATCTTTCCGCATGTTTCCACGTGTCAATTGGGTCCGGCCTAAACGTACATGTGTGCCAACGGACTGTCGCAACATACTGGCACCAAACGAGCCTTACTGCAACAAATACGGCAAGCACTGGCGCCCACAAACACTGCCCTGCCCGCCTGCCAATCTTCACCCATAGAAACCAAGTGTGGCCAGCAGTTGTGCACCCTCTTGGGAAGCCAGCGTTGCCTGTAGCATGTTCACCCCTTTACATGGTGAAGTGAGTCGATGGAAACAACGGTGGAATGAAGGAAGACTAAAGGCCACACACAAATTATCTGATAAATTCTGCAAGAATTACTGAGACGCTCTTGTCTTAGCTGCCTAATGGCCTAATGTACATGCCGTGTCGGAGTTCCATGTAGATGCATGTTTTTTTGCTTGATTCTTCTCACCGAAGCACCAGCATGGAGTGTCTCTCATGCGGCACTTCCACCAACATGTGTTCCCCATTGTTCCTAGCATCGCATGATGTTCAAAACAACTGATCGTGTCTAATTGAGTAGAGCTGCAAGTTGCAGCTATTGTGGATGAACTTGAGGTTTGGATAAGCTTCGTGCAAGCTCTGCAGGATTTGCCGATATTCTTGCAGGTTCTCATCCAAAGCGTCTCCATGCACGTGGCTGCCTCAGTAGCCAAGCCCCGAGAGTACGGGGACACAATGGAAACACATGAACTAACACTATGGACTCCATGGACCTGCTGCGGTTCTTTTGTGCTCTTGATTGACCGACGGACCGATTGTACCGATTCGATTCAGAAGAACAGTAAGCCCCGACTGGGTAGTGAACTCGTTGAAAAAGAAGGTGGGCGGCTCCTGGAAGTACAGTCCCGATGTTGCGGGAAAAAGGTGCTCGGCAAAACCTCCAAACAAACTCTCCAGCATCACAGGACGCGGATTGATCCATGTGTCCTTCATCATCAGATTATGGTCTTTGGCAAGTTCCTCCTTTGGTGGATCTGAGTCTTACAGTACTGACTCAATATAAAAACACGCGCATGTCTCACGCGTGTCCTTTGTCCATTTAATCACCTGACTGAGCGTCCTCACTAATCTGCCGTCCTCACACCACGACGAAACCAGCAAACCCACCAGGCCCCAGGGGCAGGTCATGCCACCGTGACCCAAATGGTCGGAGCAAAAGTGGACGCCCACCCGGACCACGTCAAAGGCATCCACAACGGCGTCGAAACGGTCCAAGCTCCGAAAGGGTGCCAGTCCTGACCAGAACACCACGCCACGGGCTCCCTGGGTTTTAGTGTTTGGATCTGTTTTGGAATCACCACATAAAAATGAACAAGTGCAGTGGAACATAGTGGAACAATTCTTAAACATCAAAATGGAACCAACACAAATTGTCATGCTTCACGCCCTCCCCGCTGCTCCTTCTTTCAGGTCTTTCCTCACATGATCCCTGATCTCTGCTCCCTCCACATAGTTCTTGGCCACTCGCAGCCCATGCTTCGCATAGAAGTGGGCAATGGAGGTGGTGCCACATCCTGAAGGCCCTGCCTGCAAGATTCTGGGTCTTGCAGAGCGTGCCAACGGACTCTGAAGGGCAAAGCTCTTCTGCAAAGTACGGAGGAGCCTGAGTGGACTCTGCGCTCTCCAACGCGCAGGTGGACTGGGCCTGTTGGAGGGTCGAGACTCGAGACCCACATCATTCCAATCCACACCCTTTTTTGTTCCAACCTGGGAATAACAACTCGAGTCCTCTCACTTGCATCAACCACGACGCAAAAGTGGACTGCTTTGTTTGAAAGAAAAGCGTTCTTCATCGCTCTTCCACAAGTAGGGGCCCAAAGGTCTTCAGAATATAGACACTGTGGCATTATGCCCAGTCTGGGTCCAAACTCAAACCTCTGCTGGCCAGTCAAGTCCACAAAGAAACAACCACACACAAAAAACAGCACAACATACCAGCAGCACCTTCGAAAAGGGGCGAGTTATAGATCCCCTCAGCAATGTGTCCGTTCATGTGTCGTCTGAGGAACTTACATCAATTACCTTCTACATCTACAAAACATAAGCTGTTTTATAGCTTTTTGGAGGTACCGGTGCCGATCTGTGTGCATCAAAGCGTGCTCCATGTTCACAAGTGTCACCCAGGCGCAGCCGATCGCTGCCCAGCAGTGCGCAGGCACTGCCCAGTGCCTCCGGAGCACACTGCAAGAGCCAGCCGCACACCGAGTGGCAGGCGGTGCCGCGGAACCACTTGGGCATCATGTTGAAGGGGCCTCGTGGGAGGTTGAACTTGCATGCAGCTTCTGGCGCATTCTGGCATCAACCGCATCGCCACAATCCGATGGGTCGGTGGGTGTGACATCTTTCGCAATGCCAAGCACAAACACACACTCTGACACTTGTATTCCCTTAACGCAAGTTCACGATGGGAAGGAAGGTGATGGAACGGCAAGGTG